TAGTTTTTTAGTGGTAATTTATAATTAGTTTTTCTGGGCTTAAGCAAAGTTATGAAAGAAAAGTATGCCTGAAAAATCATCGTAAAAAAATGGTAATACTAATTTAAAATGCTAAAGACTTTAGTCATAATTCCTATTTTCTAAGCTTTTGATGATTGAAAATACTTTGTATAGTATTAAATATACTTTCTGATTTTGCAAGTGCATAATCTATAGAACTGCACTACCTTGCAGTCAGCTGCTGCTTCTACTGCTTCTCCTGCTGGCATTGTTTATGTATCTTAAGGATAATGACGCGCTTCATTATGCGCCTGTGTGAGGATGCCATGGATGCTTGTGCCTGCTGGCTGTTCCCGTTGGCGCTCCTGGCGCTCCTTGCTTTGCTTTATGTTCGCATGGTATTTATTTTTTATTTTTTAAGTTTGCCTTCGTCTTTTGCGTAAAAACTTTTCGACTCCTAGACGTCGCGACGTTTTCGCCGAGATAATAGAAACCCGATACGCTGTGCGCATCTAAGCTTTATCTATGGCGCTGACTCGTCGTTGTTTTGGCATTGTTCTCGTTCCAGCCCGTCCTTTGTTTTTATTTACCCACACCGGGAGCTGGCGGCTTTTACAAGCAGTAAATTTAAGTTGATGCTGCTCCTCCTCCTCCACCGCTTGCAGTGCGGTGGAAATAAAAATGTTGAATCGTCATAAATGGCTCCATAAACTACGTCAATAATGCCCATGCCCCCAATGCCTGGCCTCGACATCGCAATGTTGCCGGGTAACTTGTAAGGCAGCAGCCGCCAAGAATGAGCATAAAAATGAGAATGAAAATGAAAATAAAAATAGTTGGCCGGCATAAACGCCTCCGTGATTTTTTACATAAGAGCCCTGGAGCCAACGTCCAGGCAAATCCCGGCTCTCATCTCCCAAGCATCCAAGTCCGAGGAGTCTGCTCTTTGTTTTTTTATTGTTTGCATTGCGACGACTCTCCCGTCATTGCCATGGGCGCGAAATGCTAGCTAGAATTAATTAAAATGAATGAGGGGACATGTCATAAACAAAGCAAGAGTCAACTGTTGACTAAGCGACCCGGTCAGCCCACCAGCAGCAGCAGCAGCTTGTTGGCGGAGGCGGGTCCCCAAGATAAAACCACATCAGAGGGAAAAGCGGACAAAAAAATGTACACCCATCCCTGCAGCCTCCAACCTCTAACGAATGTTAGGAAGTGTGGGTGGGAAAAAAATTGTAACGAAAAGAAAACTCCATAAATATTTCAAGTCCCTCGCTAGCGAGTGGCGCCATCTATCGATGGAGTCGAGTACCACGTATATGTGCGGGTGTGCTGTGTGTAAAACAAGTCATAAATTACGGCCCCGGGACTGTCAAAGTTCAGCTGACTGCGTTTTGGCCAGCCAAAGCCAAGTGCCAAAGAAATGCTGCACAGCCAGCAAATATTGCGCATACGCCGCGTTGCAGCAGCATGCCGCTGCCTGGCTCCCCGACAAGTGCAATGAACTCAATTTGCAGAGCCAACCAAGAAAAAAAATGAAAAACACAGAAAATACAAATTATGAGCCCAGTTTGAATTTATGGCCAGCCACCCGATGTTTAATTAGCTAACAAATTCACACAAAATTATCTAAAAATAAAAATAGAAGCAGCAAAAAATAAAGGAAAAACCAAAAAGAAAAGCTTCTGGGCCGCACAAATCTTTGATGTGGTTTCCCCTGCCTGCCTCCGTGACTATTGACATTTGAAACCGTCAGAGCCGAAAGGCTTAAAGCCGAATGGCTTTGAATGGCAGCTCCGGTGTAATTAGTCAGCTTTAAAGGCACCCACGGCGGCGATACCTTTTCAAACTCCCCTGACGAAACAATTAGTGTGTGAGTGGTTACTTGTAGTTTGGGGCTTGACTAGGACTCCAACTTGACACTCGACTCCTGGCATACGCACTCAGCAAGCTAATTATGCTGCAAATACTTAAAAGATGACGCAGCAGAAAGCACTTAACGCCCCAAAATTAGTATACGCCACGTGTACATACATATATAGCCGTCGGATGCGTGCCCCGGCGTTTAAGCATGTTTTTGTGTGCGTATTATTTCATAAAATATTTTCGCTGCTGCTCGGCACAAAAGATCATGCCAAGACATAAATCTCAACGTTTCAGTTGGCCAACCCAAGACGCTAACGACGATGGCAATGAGAGTTAAGACATCGTCATCATCATCATGGCAGCAGCAGAGAGCGCTGGGGGTCGAGTGTGTGTATGTATATAGAAATACAAATACTTTTGGCATATTCTCATTGTCATTATTTTTGTTAGGCTGACACAGCTAATAACGCGGCGTATGATTGTTGCAAACGCAGCGTATGAGTAATCATAATGGCAAGGCACACTCACACACACACACTCACAGGCATGTCGAATATTTGCGGCAATGCGTAAATTGCTTTTGCTGTGTGCGTACAAAACTTCAGCTAGCACCCAACACCGAGCAACCAAAATACTCATACTCGTATAATGAAAAATAGCCGAAATTTTGCAGCGCTCAACTATATGCTACACTTTTTGTTCCTGCTTTTGATTAATACTTCCATATGGCCAACTGGCAAACGACGAGCTCTCCGCCGCCGCATTCGAGCCACATTAATAAAATATAACAATTTATGGTGGCTTATTATAAAAGCAGCCAAACAGGCACAGTGCAGGGTGACTTTATATATATTTTGAAACAAAAATCGGTCTTAGATATTGGCTTCATTTGGATTAAACTATTTGAAACTTTGGGAAACTTGTTTTCTTGAGTTTTTGGGTAAAAAAATAATAATAACAGTATGCTCAGGATAACATAAATAAAGAAAGTTTTATAAAACAAACTTTAGTTTATTTTCAATATCAATTAATTTATACTTTATTCAAAACAGAGTAGTTAAGCATAATATAAAATATAGTTTAAATATTAAGACTCTAAGTACCTCTAATTGAATTATACTTAATTTAATCAAATTCAAAACTAATTGAAAATAAACCTTGGAATGCTCAATAAATTATTTGTTAAATTCTTGGAGTTCACTTTGCATATTCCCCTCGCTGTTGAGACAGTCAACAACTCATCTGCACGCCCTTCTGACCCCTCCGAAAAAAAAACCGAAGTTGGCAAACAGAAAATTTATGAAAAATTTACTTAAACACAGTTTTCCGTTACATTGACAAACTTTGAGCCGGCAAAAGTGCTTCAACAATGCCGGGACCGAGACACTCCAGCAGCCACAAGGCACAACAAAAGGGCACAACCAACCAGAGTCAGAGTCAGAGCCCTACCATGGAGCAGCCATAGTCAAAAAGAGAAAAAATGTACACAACAATTTGTTGGCTGCCTGTGCTAACTGTGTGCGTTTGTTAGACTTGAATGCCGAAAGTGGTTGGGCTGGGCTGTGCTGATTTTATGCCGCATTTAATAACGCCAGCCCACAAAAATCACATCCGCCAATTTACAACGCCAAACCAAATCGATGCCGCATCCTCGAGAATCCCAGGCAGGGCCACATCCAGGTTCAACCTTCGCAACGGCATGGTGGAGTGACGTCTACTTATAAGAAATATCAGCCACGAGATGCTCGAAACCCGGCCGAGGAGGACAAACTTTGCTAGAAAGTTGTCGTATATTTGTTGCCTTTTTCACAATTCATTAAATTTGATTAGAGAACTTTTGCCATAAAAATTACGAAATTGTGCCGTTGACGCAGCTAGCCTTCGTCTCGGGATCAGGCCCAAGTTCTCTCTTTCACCCACCCATCCTCCGGTGTGTGTGTGTGGGAAAGATTTGTGTTTGTTGTGCGTGGATATGATTTCGTGCATGTGCTCCTTGGGTTTTTTGGGGAAAAGTTTCAACTGTCAGGTGGCAAAAGCCAATCGGCCAGCCATCGGAATTTTTCCACAATTTATAGGCCATCACCCGCCCACTGTGTTCCGCCCTATTTAGGGGTCGTATTATTTATTGTGCCGACCCTTTTCGGTGCGGAGGGTCAAGATGACAAAGTTTGTTCAACTCTGGCCTGCTGCTGGACGCAGACAAAATTGTTCATAATTAAATGCAAAGGCTCGTTGGCATTAAAAACGCAAAGGCATTGCCATGGCTCGGCTTTTAAGGCTGCTAAATAATTAAAGCAACTTAATGGACTCCGTCTGAGTGGGGAGTGGGGAGTTTCCTTCCTCGTTTTCTTCCTGTCGATCGCCAAAAACTTGCTTTTGCTGAGTGCAGCGGCAATTGAATTAAGTTGCCACTCAAAGTGAGAAGCGCACATCAATGTTTGAGACTGGTAATTGGCATTTAAACGCATCCAGCGTTCCGCTCTTCAAGGTTTTTAGTTGAAAGGAGCAAAGCCAAGGAATGCAGCCCCAATGTCTACTTATTAAGACCGTGCTTCGCTTGCCAAAAATTTCCAAATTAAACAATGCCAGCATACACACGCATCGCTCTGCATATTTCAGCGGGAATTTAGGTCCGTCCGGGCCACGGAGCTGGGGCAAATGGAATATGCCTTCACGCTTGACCCGACCGAAAACATAAACTCCAGGCGAGGCTCCCAATCCTCTCCAGGATGGCCAGGATGGGGAACCCCATCAGAAGCAGCAGCAACATCAGCAGATTGAAGATTCCAGCATTCGACATAATGTTGCGGTTAAGCTAAACGACTGCATAGAACAAGCTTTTTATGCCGGTCGAGCGAGCGTTGCTTGCCACTGACCCTTGCCCCTGCCCCTTACCATTTTCCCCCTGGTTTTCCCTTGGCTTTCCCACACACACACACACACACACATGTGTGCATGTGGGTTGTTTCTGCGGCCAGGCACATGCGATTACTGAACTGGCTCGCTCGCTGCCATATACCACAAAAGCCATACATATGCCTACCCTAAGATCGCGTCCGGGTATCTATGTTTTCAATATCCAAAACGTTGGAACTAAGCACTCTGAGCATTATAGGTTATACTATTTAGTTCTCAGTTAAGTTAAGTCTAGTTAAGTCTTGTCATAGTCAGCTCCAAAAAGGGTTTTGCTTGAGTTGGATTCTAAAAAAATCGAATAAAAAATGAACAACAACGAATCGATCCCTATTAAACTTGAAAATTCCAATATCATCAGCATCGATCTTACTAGCGACGATGAATTAGAGGAAACACGGAAAGTGGTCGTCGCTGAATGTCGGATCTGCTTAGAAATGGCGGAGGTGCCAGTGGCCACTCTCTGTGGCCACATCTATTGCATGAACTGCCTGATCAAAGCCCTGGAAGACTGTGCCACCTGTCCGGTGTGTCGCCAATCAAGAAACTTTATTCGTCTCTACTACTAATTTCAAAATTGTTTTATGTTGCGTTAATTTTCATTATGTTGCTGTTAACTTGTTGTGTTTGTATTAAAATTAAATTTTGTTGCTTGAATGCTGAAATTCTCATGTTCCTATTTTGCAGTTCAACTTGGAAAAAAGGGTATCCATCTGGCGTTGTTGCCTTGCCCCAACAGTGATTGCCTCCCGTGGCGTATTTAAATGAGGATTCCGTAAAATCCATTTAAAGGTCCAACCACGGACGCTGCTGCTCCTCCTGCCAAAGCACAGCCGCTCCTGGCCAAACTCCATATGAATGAACTTATTTCCGAATATTTTCTCCAACGCATTGAGTGCTTAACAGGTTCTCGTCTCCTTCGAACGGAAATAACTGCCTGGGCGCCCCATCGATTCCGGTAGGTTCTCCTTTTCCCCATCCGACTCGTTCTGTCACGTCATTGTGGCTTCATCTCCATTTCCAATCCCATTTCCATTGCCATCCCAGGCATCAGCCGGCAGGAGCTTAGGGCACATTTTTTGCCAATGAAATAAATGCATTAAAATGATGATGTGCGTATTTTTTTCCCGAGTGCGATGAATATCCTGCAGCCGGTGGTTAATGGCTTTAAAATCAACCGTGAAATATTTGATTGTCGGTCGTTGCATATAATAATTAAAAACGTTTTGCATGTCTGTCACAGCTAAAGAGTTTGATGTCTAAAAAAGAGAAATTTTTATTTAACCATTTCTTTTGTGTGTGATTTTTAAATATATTTCAATTTAAAGCAGACTATCAATTGCAATTGTGTTCTTTATTGTTACATTGTTACTCTAAAACAATTTTGTTGATTGATTGCACTCTCATCGTTTTGTTTTGAGCTAAAAGTTCAATAAGCCTTTGAAAGCTTGTTAGATTTTCACATAAGAATAGCATTTAAAAATCTGTTTCATTGACTTATCGTTGAGGTATTCAAACTATTTGGTAAATCTCGTTGTCTTGGCTCCGCCCTGATTGATTTGATCTGCGGCCCAATTAAATGAACTCTTGATGTTCTCCCATCTTATTACTAAATCCAGCCACGCCCCTCTGGCTGCGACAATTGGCATACATATCTCAAGTGGCTCCGCACGATTTTGCCAATGTATTTGGCAGCAAATTAGCTTAGCCGCTGCTAATAGGGAATGCCATTGGCAATTGGAGATTCGCATACGAAAATCGAATGAAATGGTTAATGGGTTTGTTGGATCACAAGGGCACGGACACGGAGAAGGAATCGCTGATAATTGACACAGAGATTTCTTGGTGGTGGCTGGGATTTGCTTTGCTTGCCATTACCCATGAGCTCTCGGGGTCTCGTATTATTATTTTATTGTTTCGTCCTGCTTATGAAGTAATAATCCAGCCACGTCAACACAATTCGATTGTGTACTCCGTCCGGACTATGGATACCGCCAGTAGTCCTCGGCCGTTCAACGAAATCAGTTAGCAAATCCACTCAAATGTGCGCCGCGCATTTCCATAGACACATTGACAGCTGCCCGCATGAAGCCCGCCCGCAGCAGGATAGCTTCGGTCTCCGACTTTTACTAACTGATATCTGGAGACACGGAAAGAAATTTATATATCCAAACAAATTGTAAAGAATTAATCTATCTGTATACTTAATATCTAAATACTTAAATCTTAAACTATTTAGTCTTCTTAGGTTTTATAGTTTTGCAACTTTCTCTACTATTTTTGTAAGTGTCCTTGAACTGCCTGCTGTATGTGCGTATGGCCACCTCCCTTGCTCAACTCATATGAATAGAGTTAGCAGCGCATCGATTTCACTTCATTTGATACCAGACCAGCTCTAGTTGGAGCGCCCAACACCGAGCACTGAGCTCCAAGCCCCGAGCACTGACTAACTGACTGCCAGGATGGCTATCTCTCTGACTGATGGGCAGACAACTCAATATAGCGAGACCACGTCGCGATTGCCTCTGGCACAATGTTAAGCGACACATGTCCCGGTTGTTGTTTGCCGTCATGGCCATGGACGAGGCTTTGGATGTGCATTCCGCCTAAGAAGAAGAACCAGAAATATTTCAATACCGAGTGCTTCCATTGATTTCTGTTACTGTTTCAGCATTTCGCCATTTGCCTTTGGCTGGAGGCTGACATTGTCAAGCGGCGAATTCGCCGAGTGCTTAATTATTTTTTGCGGTTTTGTCCTTTTCCGTTCGAAATTGCTTGAGTCAGCCACACGAGTGGAGAAGAAGCGAACAGAGCTGCTAATGAAACCCACGCGAAATTGGATTTTCATGTACATGGAGACTGACTGGCTGACATACTGACAGACAGACAGACAGACAGGGAGTCCGTCTGGCGACCAGCAGGAGTCCTTCCCCCTCTTGTGGCTAATGGACTGGGCGTGGCCACACGTGCTTGACTAATTATGCCTAATTGAGCGCATATTTGTAATGCGAGCATATTAATTGGCCTAAACTGCTCGAGTACAAAAATGTATGAATGGCTGGCTGGTGGAGTGCACTTGAAAGTAGCACCAAGTAACTCCTACCCCGATTAGGGTGAATGTCCCATCTCGACACCCACAAATTAAAAGCTGGGAGCACGTAATGCGGCTGCTAACAAGCCGGGAGTTTGGGTGCAAGCCAAAAAAACTATTGTTTACCCTACATTACCATGGGGTCTAATTCCGTATTGATGAGACCCAGCCAGGGTCCTGGGAAAGAGTGTTTGTGCCATCACTTTGCGCTTGCCCATTCATTAAGGACTAATGGAGTGGGGGTGCTGCTGGAACCGAAACTGAGACTGAAACTGAAACTGAAGCTGCGAACTGTAACTGTAAGTTGAAGCTGTACTTGCAACTGCAGCAAGAATAAAATCTTCGGGATTAGATGCAATCAACAATAACAGCTGCTGGAGGCAACTACTGGCCGGGGCAACTTTCCCGAGCGCTGTGTCTGTCAATTCTAATTGTCATTACGTATACGTAAAGCGAACTGGGAAGACAAACGAGTTAGCCACTGATACTGGGAAATGGGAATTGAGTGGATGCTGGGCGGCGGATGGCAAATGAGAGCGAGTCGAAAGTTTTTGCGACCGAGCGAAAGAAAAATGAAAGAGCTAACAACTTGGCTGTCGATGAAAACAAATGCAAGACAGAGCGCAGCTGGTAAGGCTGCAAACCAGCCAAACAATATAGGGGAAAACAGTTGAGTAAAACAGGACAGCAAAAAAGCAAAGAAAGAAAGCCAAAAAGAACTTGGGGGATTGGTAACTAGCAGTTTTTGGGGGTAAACTTCAAAAAGCGCAAGCCCACATCAAAAAAAGTACAAGGATCCCTGCCTGTCCCCCATGGTTAGCCAAAGCCAAACAAAACACTAATGAAGGTAGTCAGCAGCGGCGAGCTGCGTTTGAAAGCCGGCAAATGCGCAGAGAGAAATCATCACCGAGATTGGTATTAAAGCCAATTTATTAATAATTAAAATCTAAGACGGATCTTTAACTGTTGATTAAGTTTTTATGGCTTTACAATATTGCTATTCTAAATACTATTTTATCTGCTAAGAAAAGAGTGTAATAACTCTTCAATAATCTTTCTCTCAATCCTATTTATCAATTTATCCCATACATAGTATTACCTCAACTCCATGTTAAATAAAACCTAATTTACAAAAATTATGATTTGATATTCTCAGTGTGCCACCGTCAAGGCTCATCCTGCAAAAAGGACCTTTTCCCATTTCGGACGCTGCCATTTTAGAGCAGAGAGACGACTGAAGAAGCGGAAACCCTGAGCTCGTCGACGACATACGGCATCGATAAATTACAAAGTTAAACTAAAATTAAATTCTACGCCAAACAATGCATCTTGCTGGGATGCTGGGCTGCCCTGCCTGATGGTGATGGCAATGGCGATGCGATGCTGATACTTCCCCATCGCCAGTTCCAGTTCCAGCTCCAGCTTCAGCTCTCAGAGCATTCAGTGCCGGCGCTTTCGGCAGGATTTAAGCTGCCTGTCAGCCAAGGCTCCTGTCCGGGCTTATATATAGCATTTCCATGTTGGCGACTAATGCAACTTGGACGAGGACGAGGACAAAGACGCAGTTTCGGTGCCGTAGCCCAGAGACGGCGCCCAGTGTCTTTGCCCGATGCCATTCATTATGCCGGACATTTTTGCCGCTGCTTAGTCGCCAGTGGAAACCAATCATTGTGATACTTTCATTAAATTGCTGCCGCCGGATCGCAGCATCCCAGCATCGCAGCATCCCGGCATCGCAACATTGCTGGAATCTCTTCCAGCATTGGCATCTTCATCGGATAGGGAAAGCGGGTCGAACGCGCTCAGCCTTATTGATTGGGAATTGAAATTTAATAAACGGCATTTGAAATGCATTCGCTTCGCTTCCATAATTCGCGGCAGCGTCGGAATGCAATTTAATTGGACACAATATTGTTTGGCAGCGTCGTTGTTATCTTTGTATTGCATTTGTTACTGATCGCCTGGGGGCAACTTCTCCCGCCCCGTCAACCCCTCAATTTTCCCACCCCTCCCAGCAGCAGCTTGTTATGCATGCACTGTGGGTGCCGTAAATTTGATATACTTGCCGGCGTTGTCGATAATTTAAACTAGATATGAGCGAGAGAGCACATGCAAGCTCGTGACTTTTGGCACCACGGGGGGAGTACTGGTGGGTGTGGGGTCCTGCATCCTTCTGTGAAAGGTGTCCTGGGGCCAAAACAAGCTTGCAGCTTGCAGCAGTGTTTTTAGGAAAGGGTTGGGTGAGTAAATGTTGCGATAGCGGTATCTTATGGCACGAGAAACCGCGGGCTTTGACTTTGCAGCAACGTTTTAATTGCATTTCGATTTTGGACTTAATTAAAAGCATTCGAAAGGCATTTGTTACAAGGGATTATTTACCATAAAGAGATATCCTTAAAGGATCGGTACACACACCTTCTTGAGACTGAGTTTATGTTGCATTCTATGATTACCTGTCCACTGACCTTCCCTATCGTCATCCGCCATCATTTAACATTTTTTGAGCATTTTCGAGCTGCTACACCTGCCGTGCAGCTGAGCCAAAGCTGCAAGGAAGCCAGGAGGAGACACACTCTCAACAAGCCAAGCCAAGTCCTGCCCGTATCCTTCACGCTGCGGTGCCTTGCATTAGCGCGCTGTTGTGACACCCTCCCTGCTGCTGCTGCTGTTACTTCCTTGCCACTTGGCCTGCAGCAGCAGCAGCAGCAACTGCAAATTGCAGTTGTATAATACAACGAGTACAACAAAAATAATAAAAAAGCCGCGCAAATTTATGTGCTGTAAGTGACACTACAAGGCCGCTGTGGCAGTTGCAGTCGCAGATTCTCGCGCGCCACTCGAAGGCGAGCTGCTCCTCGCTTGACACTCGCCGTCTAACCTTTTGCCAGCCACAGCGTTTTGCGGAGTCCTTGAAGTTCTCTATTTTTTTATACTTAGATATATATATACATATATATAGTTTTTTCCAGCCACCCGCTGCTGCTGGTCCTGTGTTTTTCTGGCCCTCTCGACTCGCG